TCAACTTCTGCTTCAGTTCACTCTATTTCTATATCTCTATGATAAGCACTTGTAAGTGGAATAATGGAATACTAACGGAGACGAAGACAAAGGAGGCTGGAATGGCCATTCCTGCCTCATTAGCCGTCTTCAAGCAATCATGACCAACGCCAAGTGGTACACCACCCGAGGCTGGAATTATCAACATTTTGATCAGAAGTCTAACGATTTGCCCATTGAACCACAAGCTCGTTGTTATGCCGGTTTAAATCAGGAAGTGTTCACATTCATGGATGAACTTTCACCGATTGATAACGAAACTCACTCGTCCCGTTCTGCCTTCAGGCGGGGCTCGATAGAGAATGAATCTCGAGGCTGAGTGGGGCGAGTGAGTTTTGTTATCGATCGCGGTGAACGTTCGTCCACGAGGAACAAATACTATTCTACTATCTACTTCCGTTATTAACCCCGTTTTTTCTTTTGTAAATTTCCAAAATATATTGGAGCTAATAGGCTTGATAAGTTCTAGTTAATGCCAACAACTGATCTGTCCACTTACTTTTTACACAGCTTGAAGAACAAAAGGCACCTGAGAAGTCGGAGGACACCCCAGCTCCGCAGACCGCCACTCTTCTTTCTACTCTTGCCTCAGATGACTTGCTTGGCCGGACAGCGAAAACAGGCAGTGGTGGCGGCGGCGGCGATGCCTCATCTGCTGCCACGGCCGATCTCGATCCCTCTGATGAACAATTTTTCAGTGCTCTACAGGAGGCCTGCGGTGAAGACGCCGACTTGGCCAAACAGTTTGAAAAGGAGAAGCTCGAGGTGGAGGAGGAGGAGGCACCGCAGGACCTGGATCCCTTTATCCCTGGCTGGAATAGGTGGACGGGTCCGGGCACCGAGGCCCAGGACGAGGCCCTGCGTAAACGTATGGTCGTGAAGGCGCCGAAACGAAAGCGGAAGGATGCTAGGCGTACTAAGGTGATAATTCGTGAACGCGTCAATGCGGACCTCAAGAAGCACTTGGTAAGTTGTAAGTGGTTTTACTGGGGTGGGGGTTTGCGGCCTGGACAATAAGTGTGCCTTAATCGGCACAACATGAACCGAGTTTTGTCTAACAGGCTAATTGACGCGGATGTCGGACTGGGAAGGAATGAGAGGGTGACCTTGATTCAGGGAGGGTGTCCGTCCCAACCGCACTTATCGCATATTCTTCGCCTGTTTCTAAACTATCGCAGTTCGTTGAAAGTCGTGGCTTGAAAGGCTGCAAACTGACTGTGCACTTCAGAACGGGGGAAGGGAGGTGGCGGACTGTAAGGGTTCCTTCCTAATGCGGCCTCTATGGCACGCTCAATAAAATGAGATCCTAGTCGACCAAGTCTTGTTTCGGTAAAGATGTACCTTATTGTGCTCAGGCTAGGCGCTTGTGGCACAAGTAGACGGGCTGTTTAGCCTTTTCAGACACTGCGCTCGATCCCAGTCGCGGTCATCCAGGATTAGTTTT